TCAGAACAAAAATCTAGTAAAATCTTGCAGCACCCATCACCACTGTAGTAATATAGTAACTCATTCTCCATATGCAGCAAGTAGTACTCTTTTTATGGTAATAAACTTCAATTACCAAAAACAAAAGTACAAAATTACTTAAAAACCGTTGGTTTTATTAAATTTGAATTGTAAAATTTAAATATATATATATATATATTAGTTTCCTAGTTTAAGCTGATTGAGACTGCGCAGTAAAAGGAATTTGGCATCTAATAAATAGGATGGTGCATGAATTTAACCATATTGCCTTAAAGAATGGGTAAAGCCTTAGGAATTTAGGTTTGCTGCAATTAGGCAAAAGCAGAGGAAGGGGGGCTCCAACTAAATTTCCATCAATAAAGAAAAATGGTATGAACATTGCGTTTATTTCACGAGATGGAAGTTTTGTTTCTTACATTTTCCCTTTTAAAAGGTTGGCAACATTGTCAACTTTACTTCATGGTATTAATTACTTCCATTCTTTTTTTAGCTTTTTAATGGAGGAACCAATTAGAGCCCACTTTTGCATTATACTCTTTAATTTTAATCACATTTGCCCACTCCAACCCTGAATATGATTAGCGAGCTAAAAATCTTCCGTCTCAATTTAACGTTCTTCTCTTAATTTTATGCCACATGTTCAGTATCATTAGGCTTTGGATTTCAAATTTTAAAATTTAGAAATTAAAAATTTTAATTAACAATATAAAATTGAACATGTAAGATTATGTGACAAATGATTTTCATTTCATCCTGCAAACAATAAAATACATGAAAAAAAATGATAACTATAGTATGAATATTAAATAAAGAAAAGTGCGGTAAAAGCAATAGATACAACATGTAGTACATTAAATTAATTAATTTCAAGGTAGTTTATGGTTGGTAAATGGAAGGTATATATAAAATTAAATGTGAATCATTCTTTTCCATAATATTTTAAGTTAAAGGGGCGGTGTGGTCTGCCTAAAACGTGTTGGAAATGTATAATTTATGGATTAAAGTAAAGACTTAAACATGATCTGTGTTTCCCTTAAGCTGGTTACAGTGAAAAGCTTCTTTTGGGGCCATAAGAAATGTGAAAGAATATTAAAACTTTGATGGAATTAGTGATGACATGCTTCAACCTAAGTCCATCCGAAGAAGAAAAGGGGTTTTGATTATTGCTTTTGGTTCAATCAAGAGTTGGGAAATTTTACTATATTTCTCGAGCAATGGAACTCTTTGGGCACAAACCCTTACTTTATTACGTAGGAATCAGTCATGAGGACCCACTATAGTTTTGCCAAGTATAAGCTAAGGGAAGGACCAAAATAGAGACAAAGCAGCGGGATTAAGGCTATGGCCTTTAATGGAGAACAAACAAAGAACCCTAATGGACCACCCATTTATGAATGACACTCTCTCCTTTCTTCCATTTGGTGAAAGGAAAGGAAAGGGAAAAGAAAGTGGCTTTCAAATTTTCTTTCAGCATGGGAAAAAAAATGGATGCAAAACAAACCCCACCACTTCAAAGTCCATGTGAAGCCCTTTGTTGGATGCCTTGAGCTAGCAGTCACCTTTCCAACAGGGAAGTGGAGGCGAACCTTACATAACAATTGGAAAGAAAGTTGCTCTCTCTTTTTCTTTTTTCCTAACCTTTTGTTTTCTTGGTGAGGTTTAGATTATGAGAGAAGCTGAAGAAAAGGCCAAAAAGCTGTGTTCATGTCAAAGGCCATGATGGAATAAAAAAAGACAAAAAAAAGAGAGAACAGAAAGGGAATTGACCATGCAAGATAATGTAGAGGAACTTATATGGTTTCTGTGCTCATTAAAAATGAGGAGGCAAGAGCATCATAAACAAAGGGAAAAACACCATTGGAAGAAGACAATTTTAGTGTTACTAAAAGAAAAACGATTGACCCATGATATGATTAGGTGTCTAATTTCATGCTACAACTGTCGTATTACCAGACAAATTGCCCCCATCATCCACTGAGTCACGGACCAATACTTTATGCAATCTTGTCACATAGAAACTAAGGTTTTACACTAAAGTCTTTAGGATAGATTTGGGTAATTATATTTTTAAATATGTATATGTAGAATTTAGGGGAGTCGGCGACTACACTTTTTGATTCTGTTTCTGCGTTGAACTTTTATGGTTCGGAGGCCATGGTGCTGGGCAGGCACTGCAGAAACTCCAGCACGACTCTGAGTGTTGCATCCCAAAGTGATTCCATCTTCATCTGCTTAACAGCATAATAGGTTATGCACATGGCCTCACTCCATCCCATGGGACCGCATGTTGCCAAATACTTCTGAGTACTTACATATTCACCAGCCTTATCTTAGTGGGGTCTTTTGTCTTTTGCCTTCTTCCCTGTTTGCTCATTATTATCAAACAAGATCCGATGAGCAATTCAATTACCATAGAGTATCTTCAGCTTTTTCTTACATCTTAGTTTCAACTAGGCTTTCAAGGGCTTTTCCTGTT